CCCAAGTTTGCCGAACTCAAGCGTGTTTGCGCTCATGATGCACCATCCAAGCAAGCGCCGCACCAGCCACCGCCCGCCCGCGCAGGACCTGGAGTTCTGGCACTTCCAGAAGCGCGGCCTGCGCGATCCCATGGCCCACGGGTGCTGCACGTTGTTGCCAGGTTGGCCCGCTTCCGTCATGACTGTGCAATCAACAGTTTCGTGTTTGGCAAATGATGAGGAGGCGTGTGAAAACGCGTTTGCCCAGCATCATGAGGCGCGCTTGCCTGAAAATCCGTGTTTTTGGATGTTTATCAACGGCCAACAGCTTGCCTGCCAGTGTGCTGCAGCCAGGAGGGCCAATCGAAGCGGAAGCGTGTGCGAGATGCCTCGCGCTCAATTCCGCACAAGGGTGTTGCACAAACATGTTACGTCGTGCTTTTCCAACACAGCCCCCTTGTTTAGTCGTTTGTTTTCATTGCCCGGCTGGCTCGGACAGGCGGATGGGGAAGGTCGCAAGGCAAGACCGGATTCTGTTTTGGCAGCTTGTTACGCATGGGCCTTGCTGGCAGGCCAGTTTGGACTTGCGTCCCAAGAAGGCGCCGAAGCCGAACAAGAAGAAGAAGGCGCTCGCTCGCCGTGCGTGTTTTTGATTGATAAGCAGCCATTCGTTTCTGCACCTTCTAAACACGTCGAACTCGGACCATTGAGAATTACACAGTGACAGCTCGTTCAATAATTTCTGCCAGACATAGGGGCTGGTCCTTCACACACGTCCCAAACAAGCCCCGCAAAGTGTTTGCGCATGGTGGACGTCATTTGATTGAAAAGAGAATGCCAACGATACCTTTTCCTGGGCTCAAAACTGTTCCAAGAACCCCCCCTTTCTGGGCGTGTCGGGCGTTCTTTTTTACTGGAGAAAGCCACAAAAAAGAACACCAACAACACTCTCTTGGCGCCTTCCAGTTTTGAGCGCTACAGGAACCAGCATTCCAGGAAGCAGTCAAGAAGGCTGACCAGAAGGCTCGCCTGCCCCAGCATGTCTTCTCGGCATCTGAGCGAGCTGCTTCGCCCTGCTGACAGCGCCGTGAAGCAGTCTTGCGTCAGGAAAGGCTGACTTGAGGTCGCTCTGATGATCTTTCATTTTTCTCGAAATTGCTCACCGCCTGCCAGGCGATTGCCCCGTTGCCACCGCCGCCACCGCCTTTGCCGGCACCGCAGGTCGCAGATCAGGCGACATCAAATGCTTTCACGCTTAGCTGATGTTCTGCTGACTGCAGGCAGTCATGGTGGGGGTGGCAAAGCGCCCTGGACAAAGTTGGGAGTTCCGAGCAGTCATGACCTGAAACCTGTCTTCATTGCGATCCCTCTTGATTGCAGCTCTGCATTGTTTTGGTCCGCCCTGATAGCAAGGGCAATTGGTTCTACATCGGGAATCGCTTCGTGAGCAACGATGGCACGGTGGGAGCTCAGGCCTTACAGTGTAGAGGCGTTGAACTCTTAGAGCCTGTCGGATTTGAGGTTGCCCAGCATGTCCAGCAATCCCAGCACACTTGCTCAGGCCAGGAAGTGGACGGAACAAGGCCCGCAGGCGTGCGGGACGTGGATCCTCGTTCTCAGATGACAAGAAGAACACGGGCACTGCGCTGTGGTTTTTTGATCTCTATGCGTGTGGCTGTGTTGGCCCAATCGTTTGGGGGCTCTGACATCAAACCTTGAGCGCCGAGCTTTGGCGCCAGGTTGTGAAGATGGCCGACACTCTGCACTATGCCATCACCGGAGCGCGGCTCCCAGATTTTCCGCTAGCGCGTTTTGCGATGGACTGTTGCTTGGCAGGGGGAGCGTTCATCATCATCGAGCTTTGGTGGCTTGACGGGGGAGTTCTATCATCGCCGCCGCCTCCAGCCCACTACCCAGCCAAGAGAACAGGTCAACTAAATCCATTTGCATTTTCTGATGGCTGTGGCAAAAAGTGTGCCTCGTTCATGTCTCACAAAATGTTTCTGGAACTGGTTGGCTTGTGTGTGTGAGTGTGTGTGTGCGTGGTGACTTGGCTGAAGGCTACAAATCGATGGAATCGGCGCTGACCGCGCGCGCACGGATTTGAGCTGACAGTCGCCCAAAAAGCCTCCAGCCAATGCAAAGATTGGGGTTGGTTCGCAGATCTGGGTCAGGCAGAAAATCAAGTTGTGCCTGGCAATTCACAGGGTATGTAGATTGATAAACTTGTTGGGGCTGAAACCGACCTAGGGTTTACAGATTGATAATTTTTGGGGACTGAAACCGACCTAGGGTTTATAGATTGATAAAGTTTGCCTCCAAGACACGTGATGTTTATCAATCTATAAACGTTGTCTTGTTTTTCTGGCGCACCAGCTTGTCAATCTATAAACAGATGGCTTGTTTTGTCAGTAGGCTTTATCGATCTATAAAGGCACCGCCCTAGTCTTCAAGCAGAGTTTCTCAATCTATGACTGGTTTTGTTGCTGGGGTGTGTGGGCTGCATTCGTCATCGTACAAGGAGCGTGCGCCTTCTGGAGGCATACCTTTTTTCATTTTTGGGGGCTTGCCGGTGTGCTGGACCTGCATCAGGCTACTTGCAGTTTTGATTGACACTAGGCACTTTGCCAGCACGGGCCGCGCGGTCAGCAGCGCAAGGGCCGTTGTGGGGCGGAAGCCACCGCCGCTTTTCTTTGCAGGTCCGCCCCAGCCGGCTAATTCATGTGCACAGAATGCCCAGCTGGTCATGCGCTGGACAGTGCTTTTCAACAAACGCTTGGATTTGTGTCCTGTTGCAGTGCAGAACATTGCCCTGTACCTAAACCACAGGCACTGGCAGCGCCAGCTGATGGTATCTTTCAAAAGCACGTTATCTTCCCGTGCTCTGTGGTGGAAAAGGCCAGCACCGTTCTGCTTCACAGGTTCTTAGGTTTGCAAGAGACAGGCACGCCAGTCGCTCATGTGTTCTGTAGTGTCGATGCTCTAACACAAACTTTGCGCGTGTTCAACTCCTGCTGTTACCTGTTATTGGCTATTGTTTTTGGTGGATGGACCCAAAGCAGCAGATTGACTTACACGGAACCCTTGTTGGGCGCGTTGGTGTTGTTCCTCTTCCAGGCCACGCGGATGGTTGCAGTGCCCAAGCCTTTGCTTTACTAACAAGTGTATTCTATACTGCAAACAAAGGGCCCCCTACAAAAATGTTTGGCACATGGCTCCCCCGTTTCAGAAGCAAATGTTTTTGGATATCTGTCTCATTGCGGCGCAGCGCTATTTTCAGTGTAGACAAAAGCTTGTAGGTAGAACTCCGTACTACAGAAACCTGTAGTTGCACTGCGTTGCGTCCTTCCAGATTTTCATGCTCCAAGTGTTGGTTGTTCGCAGGTTGACTCTTGGGGTCGATGAGTCAGAGGGCATCTGGACACGTTGGTAAACCTCATGCTTCGGCCGCTTGCAGCGTGTCCGCAAACTGCAAGATTCCCTGTGGCGAAGGTGGGCCATCTGCAGCCTGAACGACACCTGGGCAGAGATCTTTCCCAGAACCACCGCGAACTTATCCAGGGTGGCCAAAAGAAGAACTGGATCCGGAGGCTGAATGCGTAGTTCCGTCACCCGCACCAACCACCTTCGCCAAGTCGTCAAGGAAGACAGCCTGTGATCTCCCGGGGCAGGCTGGACCTGCGCGACCACCTGGGCGTCACCACCTTGGTCCTCAGGGAGCGTGCTCGGCCTCATGGCCTTAGCAGGGCTTCATCCTTTGCCTTCTCCGACCAAAATGGGTTGACCAGAGCCTGCGGAGGCCCCTCCGGCGGCTTGACCTCCTCGATCAAGGCCAGCAGGAGGTCCTTCTCCGAGGGTGTGTACATCTTCCCCTCGCTCATTGCGTTGGGCTCATAACCCTCGAAGCTAGAGGGCGCAGTGATCTCTTTTTGATCCACTAAAAGGGCTTCATACGTGAAATGTTCAAAAGGTGGGTGAGCGACGTGATTATATTCTGGTAATTGCGCGAAATTGTCTGTGTGATGTTTAAAAATTGTCCGGAAACAAAAATCAAGCGTTTTTGGGGGGTGCCCGGCAGGGGAAGGTGGGCCCAACTTGGCGACATTTAAAAGCCACTGTGTTGTTTGATGGATGCGCGCAAAAGTGAAAACAGTGGAAACCTACTTAGCAATGAGGTTTTACTGCAATTTCAAGTATTCCGGCTCGACGCGGTCAAAACTATTTTTGAGCGCTTTGGCCGGACTTCGGGCGTTTGGCTCGACGCGGCGAGAACGTTGCAAAACAGTTTGTTTTTAAGTGCCCCGTGAGCAGGTCGAAGGTCTATGGGGTGAAGCATTTGCGAGCGCGTCTGGATGATTAAGGTTGAATTTTGGCCATCTTGCGGGCCAACGTGGCCCCGGCCACCAGAGAGTCTCACCTGTCATGCGTCCGCCCAGAAACGCTCAAGTTCAACGTTTTGGACGCGACACGCCAAAGAACCCGAATTTGGGCGGGATCAGCAAAGCGTCACTGATAAGCAGGTTTCCACATGTTACGTGCTTCCAGCTGCAAAAACAACCAAAAAAACACCTTGCTGTTCAACTTTTTTGCCAGAATGCCGCCGCTCCACCAGTGAAGTCGAAAGTCTGTTTGCCAGGTGGCAGCACAGGTTCTTGAGGGGAAGGCTTTGAATATGCTTGGGGCTTGATTCTTTCCATTCTATGCAAGCGGGAACTTCATAGGCACCTGCAGTTCAGATGTTCTTACACGGCCCGGCCAATTTCAAGCCAGGCCAGGGAGCTCCTTGCAGCATGTAAGCTTTCTCCCTCTCTCTCTCTCTCTCTCTCTCTGGATCGCTGTTTTCCATCTGGATGTTGAGCTGCAATGCGCAATGTATCCACGGTGGATACGACGCAGGTGAGATTTGAAGCGAGGCTTCGTTGCTGCATGGAAAAGTCACCGTACTACCATGCGTGCATGTGGTAACAAGCAAACGGTTTGCGCAACACTGACGCAGTGTGGATGCATTAGAAGAAACTCACGCAACCTGTTGGCAAATCGCGTCATGCCGCCCAACTCATCTCAAAGACTCCTCCTGGCCCTAAGCTTAATGCCACCGCCCCTCCGAGCCAACTGCAGCTCTTGACTGCGATACTGCAACGCCTAAAAAGCGGATGGAGCAAACCAAAACGCCGCAAACATTGGTTCCAATGTCAAGCAACTGTTCGCCAACTCCCCTACTCATAATCGCCATTAACACCAGCACGCTCCGAAGTTCAGAGTTGCTGCCTGGTCGAGACAGAGCGCTATTGCCATGCTTTCCACACCTTTCCACACCTTTCCACTGCGCGCCGTGTCTGGCCTCAAGCGCTGCCTTGAGTGGTTTGTCTCTCCTTGCAAGGTCGAAAACGCAAAAAAAAAGTGAATCATTGTCCAAATATTGATCTCAAACAACGTGGCAAAGTGAATCCTTCTCCACGACACGCGCCGTGCCGATGGTGAGTTTCATCTGCAGGAAGCAATCGAAGCTGATGCCAGCTTTGCCTGCAATGCATGGTTTTGAAGACAATCCAGCTTCCCAAATGGAAAGAACGGTTTTTTAGCACTCCAATGGTCCAGCGACGTCGTTTGCTCCCGGTGCCCCGATCTTCCGACTTTTGACCGAGCAAGGTTCCGCATGCCAAGGCCACGATGTGGGTTTTTCTTTCAGCCTTGTCAAGAAGCAAGATGCAGCCCAATCGCAAAGCATACAGTATATGGAGGTGCATCTCTGTGTCCACTTTTGAGGTTCAAGCTGCCAACTTCCAGCACCAAAGAAACTATGACTTCAGCGAAGGAAAGGGCCAAGCCCAGTGTGCAGATTTCAACCAGAGCTGAGGAGCGGATGGGGGGACCCAGTTGATACATCGACCCCTGGACCAACATTTGCCAGAGTCCAATTGACAGTGGCGAGGGCCGTGTGTTTGCCCACGTTTATACACACATTGCGATTCTGAATAAGTGTCAGAATGATGCTGTGTGCTTTGACACATGTTGGCTAGCTGTTTGGCGGTCCTGCCGGCACCAAGTTTCTCCAAAGTCGCTCCTCAGCGGGCCACGTGTTGGACAACTGCAATCGCTCGGGGCAAGGTGGCATGATCTTTACGCAGTCCACTTCAAGGCAAAAGACCATGCAGGACTCCGGCGGCGTGAAGTCAAACTCGCCTTCGACATTGGTGGGATTCAAGTAGCTTTGAATTTGGTTAAGGTTGAAACTAGGGTTGGGTTAGGATGGGTTGAAGGCGGGCTTAGGGTTGGTTGATGGCAAGCTTAGCGCACGGCTAGGGTTTGGGGTTGGTCAAGTGAGATTGCTTCTTTGCGTACGGTGGGTTAGGGTGAGTTCAGGGTTGCCCACCGAGTTGCCGGTTCCGAGCGCTTGCTCTTGATGCTGTGTGTGTGTGTGGTTTAAAAGATTTGATGCTGATGCGTACATTTCTTACATTCGGCCCATGTGCAAACAACACGCCTTGGGAGTACTCGATGACCTCCAGCTGCGACAAACAGCCATCTTTGTCTGCGTCGAACTGGTCAAACAGCTCCTATGTGCGCAAATGCGTTGCTGGCAGCACAGCACCCCCTACACAGCACAGCCATGATGTGTATAGCTTGCATGCATGTGCAAGCTTAAGCTTCGGGTTTCTCTCCTTCATGCGCTGTGTTTGCGCCAAGGCCACCTCTCGCCGAACCAGCTTCTCCTTGCCTTCCCGCACCACACTCGCCTTGGTGACAGAGCCAAGCAAGACTCTCCTTGGTCAGCAGCTGGCTCAGTTTTGAAAGGGCTCTGGCAGCGTTGCTCGCAGTCTGCGTCAAATCACCTCGGTGCTTAAATCGGCCCTCGGTCCTTAAATCGGCCCTCCCAGCATGTTAGCATGCTTGGAGATGTTCGATGTCATGAGTGTTGGGAAAGGCTTGGTTGCAGGTTGCAGGAGACCAGGATCTTACGCTTCTCCCTGTTGCAGACTATCTCAACTCTTTGCATGCCCCACTTTTGTAATCTTGAGCCCAGTGACTACTGAGTTTTCGGATCCTGGCAATGATCAGGCGAAGGTCGACCAGAGCAGGGCCCTTGGTACAGCTTTGGAGCTCCTTGCATGATCTAGGCACTGCACAAGTTCAAGGCACGCACGTCACAATCGCAATTTGGCAATAACCTCTTCATTCACCTCCAAAAACCTGGCATCCTGAAAATGCCAAAGTTTGGGGCTGGAAACGCGGTTGATGTCTTCTAACACAATACATTCAAGTGAGCAACCTGCAAAACGCAGCCATGTTCTATGTGCTATCTTGAAGGTGTTGCAAGCTTATACTAGCAGTCACGCCAGCAACAGCAGGCGCAAGAAATCGTCCTGGCAAATCTGGTTGAAGCAACGAAAGAAGACTACTAGCCTCGTGCGCAACTTGAATCGTAAGGCCGTCCCATTGGCATCTAGGCAGTAGTAGCAGTAGCAGTAGCAGTAGCAGTAGTAGAAGTAGCAGTGGTACGGTAGTAGCAGTAGCAACAGCGGAAGCAGCAGCAGCAGCAGTGGTGGTGGTGGTGGTGGTAGTAGTACTTGTAGTGGTAGTAGTAGTAGTAGTAGTAGTAGTAGTAGTAATAGTAGTAGTAGCAGTAGCAGTAGCAGTAGCAGTAGTAGTAGCAGTAGTAGTAGCAATAGTAGTAGCAGTAGCAGTAGCAGTAGCAGTAGCAGTAGCAGTAGCAGTCGTAGTAGTAGTAGTAGTTGTTGTTGTTGTTAGTACTAGTTAGTTGGTAGTTAGATAGTAGTTAGTTAGTAGTTGGCTAGTAGTTCACAGTTAGTAGTTAGTTTTTGTAGTTCGTAGTTAGTACTTTTAGTACTTAGTAGTTAGTACTTGTAGTACTTAGTAGTTAGTCGTTAGTAGTCGGTAGCTAGTCGTGAGTAGTTAGTTAGCTAGTTAGTTAGTTTGTTTGTTTGTTTGGTAGTTAGATAGATAGTTCGCTAGCTAGCCAGCCAGCCAGCTAGCTACCTACGTAGTAGTAGTAGAAGTAGAAGTAGAAGTAGAAGTAGCAGTAGTAGTAGTAGTAGTAGTAGTAGTGATAGTGGTGGTGGTGGTGGTGGTAGTAGTGGTAGGTAGTAGTAGTGGTAGGTAGTAGTAGTAGTAGTAGTAGTAGTAGTAGTAGTAGTAGTAGTAGTAGTAGTAGTAGTAGTAGTAGTAGTAGTAGCAGTAGCAGTAGTAGTAGTAGTTGTTGTGGTTGTTGTTGTTAGTAGTAGTAGTAGTAGTAGTAGTAGTAGTAGTAGTAGTAGTAGTAGTCGTAGTAGTAGTAGTAGTGGTAGTAGTGGTAAGTAAGTAGTAGTTAGTAAGCAGTAAGTAGTAAGTACCAAGTAGTAAGTAGTAAGCAGTAAGAAGCAAGCAGTAAGCAGGAAGTAAGCAGGAAGTAGTGAGCATTGAGCAGCAAGCAGTGAGCAGTGAGCAGTAAGCAGTGAGCAGTGAGCCGTAAGCAGCATGCTGCAAGCAGTAAGCAGTAAGCAGTGAGCAGCAAGCAGTGAGCTGTGAGCGGTGATCAGCAAGCAGTGAGCAGTGAGCAGTAAGCAGTGAGCAGTAAGTAGTATTCAGTAAGCAGTAAGCAGTGAGCAGTCAGTAGTAAGTAGTAAGTAGAACGTAGTAAGTAGTAAGTAGCAACTAGCAAGTAGCAAGTAGCAAGTAGTAAGTAGCACGTAGTAAGTAGTAAGTAGTAAGTAGTAAGTAGCACGTAGTAAGTAGCAAGTAGTAAGTAGCACGTAGTAAGTAGCAAGTAGTAAGCAGTGAGTAGCAAGTAGTAAGCAGTGAGTAGTAAGTAGTAAGTAGTACGTAGTAAGTAGTATTAAAGTATGTGAGGGAGAAAGTAAGTAAGCGACTAAGAAAGTACGAGCGAGGTTGTTCTCACAATGGTTGTCCAACGGTCTTGCTGGATCCTCTTGCGTGGGTTTCTTATTGCTGTGTCCGCTCAGCTGCCCAGCAACATACCCCATACCCCGCCCCCTCCTCATGGGCCTTTGCCCTCTCTTCCATAAAGGACTGATATCGGTCACTCATCCCTTCTGCCTAGACAGGCAGGTAATGCTCGCTAATGTCACGAGCAGGAACTTGTGCCGAGAGCCTCGAGACCAGCATTTTCCAACTGATCGTTCATGTCCTCTCGATCCTTCTCCTGCGATGTGGGTCTTGAGAGTGTTGAATGCGCAATGTTGTTTGAGCCTTCTGCAAGGCTAGGTTCTGCCGAACCAGCTCTGCAGTGGCCTCCCACGCAGGAACACGCGTGAACGCCTTCAATCACAAGCTTAAACTTGATTCATGCAGGTCTTGCTGAGAACGGTCAGGCCTTCATGCAACTTCAGTCACTGGATTGCACCTTTTGCTTAGGAGGTTGAGAGGCGACAAGAAAGAGATCTAAGGACTGCAATAACAACTGCCGTCGCACGATTTCGGGGTGAGGCCTTGATGTGCTCTTCGCCACTCCTTCGGGCAAATGCTGAGATGGCTTCACTGGAAACTCAATGACAAGCGCAAGAGTCCTGACCATGGCTTTCAGCTCGCGAATGGTATCACGTCGCTTGGAGGCCTCGGCAATAGCCTCGTGCAGCAGTTCTATTGGCACAGCCGTCTTGCCTGAAAATGTGTTCTGAAATCATATTAAGCTGTCACCGTTCCTGGGCACGGTCTTGCTGAGAATGGTCAGGCTCTTCCCCAAACCAAGATTCGTCCGTGGCGTTGTGGAGCTTCATAACTTACGTAACCCATTGTGGAGCTTTCAATGCGGCTTGAGGGATACGAGCCCTGCCTTGGCCATGTCACGCTTGAGTTCGTCGACTTGCTTCTCACCACACTTCGGCAAGTCTCTCTGGGCCACATTCTCCAAGGTCTGCAGGCACAGCAAGCAGCTTGTTTGCAGCGACATGGCTTCGTATACAGCTTTCACGCTTGCCCAAGCTTGCCACCGACACGAACCCCAAACCTTGAGGAGAGAGTCCAGAGAGTCTGACCTCAGTTAACGGTTGTTGCAAGGGGAACTGCACCACCCAAACACCAACGCTGAATTCCAAGCATGCGGCTGTCCATTCTGCAAGTTGCTGATCGCATTGCGGACCGTCGCAACCGCTCTTTCCTGAGAATGCCGGTATCGGCCAAAGTCACCCACTACCACTCTTCGGCCACTTGCCCGTCACGATTCGACTATCAAAATCCAAGGATCAGCCTCTGCCTTGCGCAGCAAATCCTCGTTTCGGAGTCGGGTCTCATCCTCTAGCCGCCTGCGCGCCTGGCATCACATCTTCATCAGAAGATCAGAGGTTCTTGAGCCCTGCCTTGTCCCGCTCATCGGCCAACCTCTGCTCCTCTGTCATGGGGCCTTGCCTGAGCTGAGTACTCCCCAAGGCCACTCCTGACTTATGCTTGCCAACTCGAGAAACAAAAGGCACCAAGCTGCGAGCGCACGGCACGAAAGAGTAGTTGGTGCGTTCTGCCGTTTGCCTTCCCTTGCAAATGTCGGACACGCTGCCACGCGCATCACGCATTTGTTTTATGAATCATTTCCAAGGTGCATGTATGGTGCCCCACCGACCTGCAAGGGCGATGGGCTGGGTGTGAGACTGCGGCCAACGCTGGACAAAAGCGTGCTTCGTGGGTACGAATGGGGTCCCTCCTACAAGCGTCCTGCTGGAAGCCTTGCAAAAACTACCGCATCGGAAATACCCGGAATTTGCCAATGTTGACGCACGTTGTTTTGCACAAACTGTGACTTCGGCGCGACTTGAGCCGGGCAAGCGGAAAATGGGCCTGAACGAACCACAAACAAGATAAGCCAAACAACATCAAACAACCAATCCCCGGCTTCAAGAATTTAAGGTATCAGTAACCAACGTAACCACCTCGAAAGCAGTTACCAAAACAGCGCCAAGTCCCGTGACCAAATTTGACCCACCTTTCTGCACTGACTTTCTAGCTAACCGACGGGATGCTTCGGGAGACGGTCATCCAGCGGCCACGACGAACTAGCAAACTCGAGCCAAATGCCGCCGGTCGGTCGCGAATGCTCCCTCCCAGATGACACCGTGGAGTCCGTCTTTCACGGGGCGTGCCACAAGCTGATAGGAATCAAAGTTCAGATCCGTCCACAAGCAGCGCTGCATCATAGGTGGATTGATCTCGGAGAGGTTGTCATCCACAACATCCCGGGCATTCAAATCGCCCACCTCGAACTGGGAAACGTGGGCCGAAAGCTAAATGAGAAAGGCCACGTGACAGCACCACGCAGGCCAGTACTGCGGTGCCTCAGATATGCGAGATTTACTCGCGTCGGCCACAGGTAGAAAGTAAATGTCGTTCGTCGTCACCCTTTCAGACAATCGGCCTTCTTTGCGACGCTAGTAACACGCGCGACATATATGTGTGAACAGCTTGAAAGACCCCGCACTCTCGCGCCACTTTCGCGGAGTCAGATGGAAGCTCAGAGAGTAAGAAACGAGCGCCGTGCCGCCCGCAAAGGCACGAGCCTGAATCCGCTTTTTTCGGCAACGGAACGAAGTTCAGGCAGAACACGAAAGATCAATTTAAGCACAGACCCGTCCGAACGGATTTCAAATTAGACAAAGATTTTTGCAAACGTGGCGCAAAGTTACCGCAGCCCCAGACCCGCGCGTCTCCGTCGCGCAGGCCGACCGCCTCGAGGCGCAGTAGGACCAGTAAACCCGACCTCCGCCGCCACGCACCTATCAGAGTAAGGCGCTCAAAGCAAGCTCACAGGGGCTCAAAGAGTAAGAAACTTCATCACCGCCACCACTGGGATGTAGCCGCAGCCAAAGTCGAGGCGCCGGGCTTGACACTCCACGAGCCCGCCACAGCCCCGTGAACCTGAACGCGACCAACCGCGAGAACCGCAGCACGACCAGCTAGATCACGCGCGTCGCGAAGGCTGTCATTGCAACAAGTGTTTCTCCAGAATGCATGGGCTTGGCTAGTGTCCAACCGCTGTTTCAGATAACCAGTAATGCGCATTCCATGACGGAAGGTTGCCATTTGTCTGTTCGAGGGCCCAACATCTCTGCACCACGCGCTCTTGATTTGGCGGCGGAACGAAGCAGGGCGAGTAATCTCAGCCTCTACCACGCCTGGCCTTGAAGAACTCCACACCTTCGCCCCGCCCAAATCTTACGCCTGCGACTCCATGGCGTGGACCTCGTTAGGATGGCCCCTCGCGCCTGCCGCAGCCGGGGATGAACTCACGCGCCGCGACCTGAAACACTGCGCGCGAGCTTCGAGGGATCTCAGCCCGGTTGCCAACGGAAGCAGCTTTTCCATCTGGATCGTTGGGCCCTCGTCCACACACACTGCGCTGGAGGCCCACAATCCTTGCCAGTCGGCCGCCTCGACCGCGCGGGCTTCCTGCGGCCTCCAAAAACAGGCTTGTCATACGCCCGCTCACGCCGGCTCTTGGGGTCGATTAGAATCCGTCAGATTCTTGGCAGCTTCCGAAGGTTCGTGGCCAGCTTCCTTCCGAGCGGCCACAGCCATGGGAATCAGCGCTGCCTTTATTGGCAACTTCTTCGTCTGCGAAATATGCGCTTGCCCCATCTCCCATCTGCTCTCCATTTCGTCAGATTTCTCTTGCGCCCGCCCCAATGTCTTCTATCATCGCTCCAGATCCACAGGCGCATGAAAATACCATAGCATTGTCACGCCTGACCTGCCACAGTTTGCGCTGCTGTTCTGGCACGCTTCGCTATCGGTTTATTGGGGCTGTGAGTCAGCCTGGTCAAAGACGGACGTGTTCCAACCATGTTCGTCCTCTGCGCGTGACGGACACGCGCGTTGGGGTGAGATCATCAATGCATATTGCGCACGCAGGAAGGATAACTGGTCCGCCGCTCACTTACGCCCCACCCCACCTGACAATTCGTCACACCCAACTCCCTAACGGAAGGACTCGACCTCGGCGATCTAGGGGCAGCCTGCTCTGCCGGCAAGCAAGCTTGCATCGGCTTTGCGCCAGGAGACGCGCTCCGACGCTCGCACTTGCGCTTGGGGTCGAAATAGTCGTCACTAAGCTTGTAGGCAATGTAGGTCGCGAGCACGTAGGGGAGTCCTGTGGCTGATAACCTGTGAGTTTGGCGCTAGCCCTGCGAGGGGCAAGTTGAAATGTGGTTGCAGAAGCCCCCACAAGAATCACCTGAATAGCCAAGCGGCTCCAACGTACCAGCAAGCAACACAACTACAAGGAACAAAGTTACCAAAAGAGTGCTAAGTCTCGTGACCACACCTGGCGCTGATCCACCCAAGAGTCCCCACCAATCCACCCCTGGCCGATGTCCCTTTCTCCACCGTCTCGAAGCTTGTCGACGTGAGGTTCCGACGGCCATCCAGTGCATTGGTCACTACGGACCAGTAATCTTGAGCCAAATGCCACTGGGTGGTTGCCAACGCTCCCGCCTGGATGACACCCGGAAACGTGGCTAATCACACAAACAAGACAACACCAAATTCTCGAGAACTCACGATGTTAGAGTTCTGAAAACATGGACTTTGAAAGTTGCAATCAGTTTCCAGTACTAATTTCAGCAAAAATAATACTCGGCCCCCGAATACTTCAAAACGTGCCCCAAACATTACAAGGTCCGAAATACTTATTTCTAAAATGTGCCAACCAATACTAAACCAATACTCAAATTGCACAATTCCGGAAATGACGTCGCTCTGCTGTTTCAATTGCTTACTCGGATCTTGCAGTGGTTTTCTTACGGATTGTTGGGCCCGCAAAGAGGGGGACCAACTCAGCAATCAAAGCCTAATGGTTCACACACACACACACGCACACGGAGCGATTGAGGTTGGGGGCCCTGGAGTCCTCAACGTATTTGGCTCAATCAGTTCGAAACTTTCAAATGGCAGCGGCTCCTGGCGTAGCCTAAAAACCATCCCAACATCGCCCAACATGGTGATCAACCCGTTCTGACACTTTGCCCTGGGATGTTCGACCCAGAGACAAAGCATTTGGAAGGCGCTCCCTCGGCTTCTCGGGATCTGCCAGGCCGCCGCCATGGGTGCGCCCGGCGCTGCCATCGGCGGAGGCGGCGGTGGCGCGGCCGGGTAGCCTTCGGGGGCCCGAACAAGTTGGAACCTTCTATCATGAAATGAATCAGGCTTCAAACCACGGAGGCGGGACCCAAGTTTGCAATGCTCCAGCCCAAAGCTGACATTGCGGACAAGGACTGCCTGCTGCCTCGCCCATGCTGGAGCCGTACGGCCTGGCAGGGGTGCACAGCAAGCCAAAGCATGAAGCAGGGCTGTTCCCAGCCATCAATCATTATCAATCCAGGCGTTGGCTCCGGCCTCCCATAGGCATCGTAGCCGTAGGTTGTACCGTATCCTGGGTATTGGCCTGTCAGGGATGCAAAGAACCTAACAACTTGCCTCCGATGTGCACCTGCGTATTGCGCGTAGCCAGCCATGCCCATCTGCGAGGTGCCCATGGCCGTGGGCATGGCTCCCTGCACTCGCAACGGAGCGCATGTGGCCGGAAGGCCGAAGGGCCGAAGGGCCGACGGGCCGACGGGCCGACATGTGCGGCTCGCAATCAACTTGCTCGGTTGCTACCTTTGGCCTTGGGCTGGCGCTGTGCCCTCCCCAAACTACCCTTCGCTTGACTTGGCCCTATGCGACGCGGTCCCAGGCTTGCATCTGTGCCCCGAACTTAGCGCGCTGTGTGTGTGTGTGTGGGTGTGTGCCAGTGATTCTGCTCAGGGAAGCTGCTTGCCTGAGCGGTCCATTCCCCGGTCTTAATTGCAACCTTGCTTTAGTGTATGTTCGCATTGTACTGTTCCGTGTTGTCAGGAGATTGCAGCTGGATGCGCTGCAGTTCGCACATCCTCGCGCCCTCTCCTGTCCCGTCCAGGCACGCCCAACTGATCGGCCATCAGCGGGATAGCGCGCCGAATGTGCTTGAAGCTGCGTCATGGAAAGAACAATGCTGGTTGGCTAGCTGCTCTTGTGCTCGTGCTCTGGACACGTCTCCTGTGAAGTCCTGCTCGACAACAGCATGTTGTGTCTGACGCGAGGCTAGGGGCAGGAAAAGGGGAATGCTGCCTGCCCGGACTGCCAAGGACAATTGCAGAACGTGTCAGGCAGATTGATGAAACACGGCAAAGCAAAAATCGACAGTCAGGGCAATTTGGCATCACCTATCCAACGAACCAACCATCAGGGCCCCAGGGCTGATCTGCATACGCTAAACACCGATTACAAAGCTCAGCCATTGCACCATTCAGTACACTTGACTGGCTTTCCTGTGCATGCTGAATTCAGAGAGGCAAGGAAATTCATTAGTGACTGCAGAATCACCACGAGAGCGCAGTGAGACCGCGACTCTAGAACAGCTTTCTGAGACTAGCATCGGTCCACATGCCATCTCAACTGGAACCCTCAGGTCAACAGTAGGCAGAGGCTACAAACTCAAATGATGCACTCTTCTGCTACGCTCAGTCCATTAAGCTTGTGCGAGGCTTTCAACATCACACAAGCTTGCTTCGTTTGCAGCAGGTATGTGACGATTCATTGCATGCCAGGTCACTGCTGGAAATGCTACTACACTTTTTGACAATAGCCATCTGCGCAGGTGTATGAGAAGGATGTGTTGCTGTGCCCGAGCTATTGGATGGATCAATGCATGCTTACCTCAGTCTCCTTGCCATGCGTGTTTGTCGAGCTTAGGCTGCAGCCTGCACGCATTCCTCAAACATTGGCAGCAAAGAGCTGTCTGTCGTGACTATCCTCAGGAAAAAAAAAACCAACTGCATCGCCACAATGTCAATGTGGTGCATGCAATCCTGTTTGCCCACTTGCCAGCCCGCTGCTCGACTGGCTTGAGGGCAGGCAAGCGCACACGAACTTCGAATGCAGTCTGATTTGCTTGCTGTTGCACAGTGCTGTGGGATGACTTGCTTCGCCATGATGTCGGTTGCACGCAGCCCAGTGCGTCTGGTATTTGCAGGGCGTTGCTTGTACCTGAATCCAAGCGCATTGAGTCGTTAAGGTAAATGATCCAGTTGCACAATATGATTGCAATCTTTCCAGGCAGTGCTGTGGAGCAGAATGTATCCTATAAGCTTATGGCACTGGTAAAGTACGGCGCTGGTCGAGTCTCAATGGTGTGAGGGGTGCAGTGTGGAGCTAGCTTATTGTCGATGCATCAAGCTAGATCCTGGCATTACCATCTAGTTGTTTCGCTAATTGCCAAAGTTTGATTGTCGCATTGCCTGATTTGTTCTCTACCGCTACTGTTCAACACACATGTTGCGTGATGCCATGCACTTGAGTTCGAGAATCGAACAAGCGGCCTGCAATTTGACAGCAACGATCAACTGCGACAACAACTCTTGAAAGCACATGCCGACTGACCCGCAAACCTGCATCCCCCAGGCCATCATGGCGTTCCTTGCGAGAAGGGCACTGTCCAGGACTTGCAAAGGGGCAGCAGCATCAAAAGCAAGCAGCAGAATTCTACGTTCACCGTATCTGTGCAATCAGCTAAGCCTTGCCGCAAAGGAGCATGTACTGTTGCTGCTGCTGCTCCTCATCTTCATCGCTGCCTAGAATTTCACGAATCCGACACACATACACACACACACAACGCTGTTCATTCCTGTAACAGCCAACATGCCCACATAGCAAACCAAAACTTAACTTCGTTGATGAAAACCTTGGCCAAGCTGCTGGATGAGGAATACGAGTACGAGCTGTCCGAACTAGAGGATTGCTTGTCTTTCTTTGCCTAGATTCAACATGATGTACCAAATGCAACTCGCGTGTGCTGTACTGAGTTTGATTGCCTCGCCTTTGGCAGTTTTTTCTTGGCATCTGCTTTGGCCGCTGCTTCCTGGCACGTCACATCTCCAAGCACCATCAAGACCAGCGCTCTGCAAATGTTGGGCAGAGGGCTGACATGCGAAGTTTCGATTTGTTTCCAGGGCCTTCTTCTTGCTCTGGCTCTTGCTTGCCTTTTCTCTCTCCTCTGCTCCTGTGAGTATGGCGACAGAAGGCTTGGTCTGCCGAAGCGGCAGGCTTCCAGGCAAAGCTCCTTTCTTCTCAGACTTGTCATCCTTTGTCTTCTTCGACTTGGACTGCAGAACAGCATAGCATTCCAGCACAGCTATCTGTGTCATTGAAGTGTGAACGCTCATGCCGCTCGGCAGCCTTCTCCGCCTTGTCTGCCTTGCCTGCTTTGTTCTGCTTCTCAGCCTGCCATCACAGTGCAAAAACGAGAAGGACACCGGGATACCAATCCAAAGCATAGCCCATAATAGAATTGCGCTCTCAGTCCTTATCAGACTTTGTCTTCTCTGCCTTGACAGCCTGCACGGAGTTGCATGCGGAAGCCTCCACAAAAGCGTGCCCGCCTTGTCAGAGTCGGCCTTTTCGGTCTTGCTGGGCTTCTCGGCCGTTGAAGCCTTCTCAGACTTCTCGCGCTTTTCTGACTTGTCGGGCTTCTCTGACTTGTCGGATTTTGCCTTCTCGGCTTGGGACTTGTCAGGCTTCTCCGCCTTGTCCTTCTCTTTGTCTGGCTTGTTTGCCTTCTCGGCCTGAGTCACTCGAGGTGGTGACTAAACACCAGAGATTGCTAATACACCTGCTCTTGATGCGTGCATTGCACATCCCCTGGGAAAGCCACTTTTTTTGCCTTCTTCTTTCCTTCCTGTTTCTTGCCTGCGTGCATCGAAGATTGGCGTTTGGGGGGAACTCAAGGGAGTTGTTGCATTCCCAAGAGCCTGTGTCGCCCTTCCTGAAGCAGGCCAGAGACGCAGGTGGCCAGAGTCGAACATCGAACTTTGATTGTTTTCGAAATCAGACAAGTCAGACATGTCATCAAAGCTCACGGCTTGCAGCTTGGGGGCCGCTCAGAAGAGCTCTTCTCGCGCTGGCGTTTGCGACGGTTCCTTGTGCAAGGCAAGGAAGTAGGACACGCGGTCTGCACGTCACCAAGCTGTCTTCAGGACAGGTGTTTCTTCCCTTAAAATTCTATACATCTGAACTCAGGTGGCAGCGTTCTAACGCGGCTGCGAGATCTCCGGCTCTGCCTTGCAGGTCGCAAATGAAACACAGAAACAGGATAGTTGCAAGTCCCAACTGGCTACCTCAGGACACCTCAAGTATCCCAAACAGAACTTAAGACCAGTTTCCCAAACGGGGAAGCAAAATTCCAAAGACAACGACGGTGCGCTTTTTTACTGCCTCACTTCGATTGATACTGCCCAGCCTCCGCGTCGAGGAGCCCCGACGACGGGCACGGCGGCGACTGCCGCTGGAGCGTCCACGCCGTGGCATGGCGATGGCGAAACCAGACCCAACGGCGTGAAGCTTCAGTCTGTGGGTCTAAGAAATGCTTGCCCTGTGGTCAAGTCTGTCAAGTCCAAGTCTTATTGCTGTCGGATGGATGGCCTGTGGTGCTTGAGTGGGCTGGGGTGGGGGGTTTGGGCTGGGGTGCACATCATCTGGCATGCAAAACGCCGGTACGTGAGTAAGGCTGTCATTGACAGCATCTCTCGACGCCAATGCCACATCAAACCGCGCCAAAGTAGCCTGTGTTGTCCTCTGAAGCAAGAAGAAACAGCAAATGCCGCAAAAGAAATGCAAATGACTTTGATGGCGCTCGACTTTGACGGCCAGTGCTCCCTTTCTTTTCGCGTCGGCAAGCCAGCGTCTGTCACTGCCTCCTTCTGCAGCTGTATTAGCTCCGGATTCAACAAGCTCTCTGCCCTCTGTCTCATTCATGCTGCGTTCTTGTGTTTCAAAATGCTTGATTCCTTCAGACCGTGTAAACGTTGCATGTTTCTGGAAAGCTTGCGGGAGCGCTCAAGACAAATTTGTGCCTCTTTGATCTTCCGACCCTTTCTTGGCTCGCATTCAGTCTCTGTCACCCGCGAAGAAGCGTACCCGGTAGACGAAGAATACCAGTACCTTTCCGCAGCCGCAAACCAAGCGATGCAAATGCAACTCACTTTCCCTTCGCCTGCAGAAGAACTGGAGACGCCAGCAGCGTCAGTTGCAGCCATCGCCTTGCAAACGAGCTCGCTGCACTTGGCACTTGTGCACATCCAAAGCTGTCCGGACTGCAAACATTGAGGTGGATATCAACTTCTGCTGCAAATGCTATCGTCCAGGCCAGGGTGAGCCAGCCCTCTGCTGTTTGCTTTGACTTACCCCTCGATTTCTGTTTCTGTGTGTGTGCACCTGTTGACTGCGTTTATGCTGGCGCCGCACGATACGTAGAGCACGCAGTGAAGTTGCTCTCACACGTTGGCACGCGTGAGCACACGAGCGCAGCTTCAGCAACGCGTGGAACATCTGCAAGCGACAATATCTTTGTTTTGACAGCATCCACATCACTGTCATTGCTTTCTCAAGTGCCTTGCACTTTGACAGTGGGTTGCACCGTTGGAGTGTGAGTCGCTAGAACCCATTATGCGCGAAGACGGTTTCGAGCTCTACGGGAACTGGTCGCCGCAGGGCTACGTTGGGGTATTGCTCAGGGTCTCTTTCAGCGAACATAGGGCGCTGATGTTTCAACTGTTTGCGCTCGCCTTCCTGAGCAGGTCTGACATGTATCCGTCGCGCCGACATTGCGGAGGCGTGTCGGATACCTAAGAGAGAATAGAGGATAACCCACCCCCCTAACCCCCCGCCCGACGTCTGATAAGTAGGGTTTAGGGGGGGGTTGCCCCACGTACCGCGCGGTAATTTGATGACGTTCCACAAAACGCCAGGCTCGAATCCCCCTGCCGGCTCTTTTCTGGTTTGGATTTCCTGCCTCCTTTTGCCGAAAATCTGGAAAACTCTGTGTGTTTTGACGTCCTCTTTGCGAAAACGCTGGAAAAACAGTGTTTTTTTTGCGGGAAATACTGGGGAGCAAAGGGGAAATGCAAGGAAATGCAAGGAAATGAGGGGAGGAAATAGGAAGTCGACCTGACAGGAAAGCAAGGGGAAATGAAAGGGAAACAAAGAGGAACTGAAAGGGACATGAAAGGGACAGAAATGAAAACAAGAAGAGTGCAGAAAAAATGAAAGGGAAACAAAGGACAAGGAAACCAATCGGCACGACGGGAGATGTCGGGAACTGACTGGCAACGAAGGAACGGGACATACATGGAAAAGGAAGCGGGCATACCGAGAAAATGACAGGGACATGAAGGGGGAGTTGAAAGGAATGGAAGGGACATGACCAGGACATCATGGGAAACGTGAAAAGGACATGAAGGGGAAATCAAGAGGAAAACCAGTAGTAGGCAGACAGTTCAGGGTCCTAAAGGGGCAGTGCCCGGACATCGAGGCAACTCAGGGGGGACGTGACGCTGCAATGCAGAGAGAGAGAGAGAGAGACAGGGAGAGAGCGGGAGAGAGAGAGAGAGACACAGAGAGCGAGAAAGAGAGAGAGAGAGAGAGAGAGCGAGAGAGAGAGAGACAGACAGAGACAGAACCAGAGTCAGAGAAAGACAGAGACAGACAGAGAGAGAGAGAGAGAGACAGAGAGAGAGAGAGAGAGAGACAGAGAGAGAGAGACAGAGAGAGAGAGAGAGAGACAGAGAGAGAGAGAGAGAGCGAGACTAGGTCCTCCAGTAGAAAGGTTAGAATCAGGGTACCTTTTTTTCTGTAGAGGGGCGTGGACAGGAAGGAGACAGGGAGACAGAAAGAGACGGAGAAACAGAGAGAGAGAGAGAGAGAGAGAGACAGAGAGAGGGAGATTGAGGAGAGAGATGGGGAGGATGGCGAGCAGAGGGAGGGAGAGAGGACGACAGAACACACGGGGGAGGAAACAAGAGAGAGAGGAAGAAGGAGAAAAGGGAGAAAACAATGTCGGCGGACTGAGCCGGAGGCTCTAAAGTTTCCAAGGCAGGATGCGGTCGAAGCAAACATAAGATGAATAGGCCAATGCGCAGCTCGAGCAACGTGGACATGAGAAACGGCCGATGGACACGCTAGGGCTGTGCGCTTTGAGCAAAGCAAGTAGCCACCTCAGGATCCCACACCTTGACTGAAATCTCCTGAAGCAAGTTCGACTTCAGGAAAAGGAGCGACAGCGCAAGACCTGAGGATGTCTTCCCTTCCAATGGTGGCTTCTCTTCCAATGGCTGAGGCAACGACCTCCCATTACGAAGAGCCATCGTAGGAACCCAACCGGAATGATGCACAGTATGGACCTTGTCGTGCAGCGCGATGGTGCACTGTGCAACAAATATTGCGCGCAATGGATAGGTGCGCCACACAGGTATTGCAGGTGCAAGGCCATACCTCGGCACGACTCACTGACGGCATCTCCAGCCCAGCCCTGGTGTGGGCCAGCTGCCCACACACGCAAACAATCTTCTTGAAGTCGATGTTGGCCACCTTTACTCTGAAGCGAGCAATGAAGCAAATGGGGCAGTGCTCTCGCGGCAGTGTCGTGCAACTGGCCACGTATTTGCACATGAGGGACAATGCCAATGTCGGATAGTAGACTGCAGCGTATACTGTCGTGGCATGTTGTCATGATGCTCGAGTCACGCCTCTTCATCTGTGAAGAATACAGACCTGTGCCGTTCTCACGAGGCCAAGCAAACGTCGGAAACACAACTTTGCTTCTCGAAGACTTCGATGAGTTGCCATGGAGTCGACTTGAACGGGTTGCATTGACTGGGCAGGCGGCACTCGCGCGAGCAGAGGTACTGCAATAAGGCCCCTTAGAAATACGGAACGTGGCCCTTAGCTGAAGCGTCTGCACGCTGAGTCTGAGTCCCGTAGATGATGCTGGCAGCCAAAGGCACCAAGCTATAGTCCGCCTGGAGCACACAGGCTGATGAGGCTAATCTTCAAGTGATTGAAAATTCATTGCCTTGAAGAGGCTGGGATGTGGAGATTCAATCAGCCTCAGTGTCCAAGAAGGGAAACCCAACGCATGCAGTTGGACTCTGCCTAGCAAAATTCCCGGTGGCGGCCAGGAAGAGGACTGCTGTGGTGGCAACCCAGAAAGGGCCTCGGAACCGAGATCTGTCGATCTGTCAACGCTGCTTGCCGAGGGTCCGGGGACACACGCAGCGCGCTGAACCATCTCAGCCTCCCAGCCGTAAAAGTCTGGTCGTGCACGGAGCTCCTCGAACCGCACCAGAGTTGAGCTGAGGCAGCCCGCAATTTCAACATGCAAACATTCTAATCAGCCCGTAAAGCTCTGTGTGTGTGTCCTCTGCAGCGGAGCCATCTGGTGCTGGATATGGCCTGGTAAGGATTGCTCAGCAAAGCCTCTCAAAACCTCCATCTGCCAGTACGGCTAAAGTTGGACTTAGTGCGTTGCACGATCAGCTTCAGACGGCGCACGACATCATCAGTGCTCACCTGCAACGAATCCGTAGGAAAACGTTGCGCGTGAGAGGAATCAGCAGGAATGAGTCTTACTCAAAATGCTTAATGTGCTGGCTTGACATCCGCTTTTGTGGTCAGCACAGTTGAGCTGCTCCACAGCAAGCCAGCTGTGTATATAAGCGCTCCACATCGAAAAGGCTCTGCGCCATCATCAAAAGCCACGAGGAGAAGCCAGCGACGCCGCCTAGCACCAAACACGGTACATCCTCATGGGAACTATCTGATCTTATCTGGTCTGTGGGCTGATGAAATGACGGACCATTTGAGCAGTGTTTTGTTTCAAGGAAATTGGATACCTGGCAGCTAAGCGGGGGCTACGCGAAAGCGCGTTTGCAGAGGAAAGTAGCAAGAGTGGAAGTCGTCGCAGTAGCGGTAGCAGATTGTGGTAGCCGAACAGAAGAACAGCAGCAGCAGCAGTAGCAGCAGCAGCAACAGCAACTAGCAGTTGCAGAAGTGGAAGTGGCAGTGCCTGGCAGCGCCAGTGGTAGCGGCGGCAGCAGTGGTGGCAGTTGTCGTTGCAGTGGTAGTGGCGGTGGCAATGGAAGTGGTATTTGCAGGGGTGGCGGAAGTGGTAGCAGTCGTGGTAGCGGTAGTGGCGGTAAGGGTATGTAGAAGTAGTCGTAGCGGCAGTTGTAGTCACAGTTGTAGTCGTAGTGTGCTAGTCGTAGTACTAGTTGTAGTAGCCTCTAGCTCTAGTACTAACATAGTACGAGAAGTCGACACAGTAAAAGCGGTAGCTGTCGTGGAAGCGGTAGTGGTAGCGGTAGTGGCAGTGGTATTGTTAGCGGTAGTAGTAGTAGTAGTAGTAGTAGTAGTAGTAGTAGTAGTAGTAGTAGTAGAAGTAGTAGTAGCAGCACTAGAAGTAGTAGTAGTAGTTGTTGTTGTTGCTGTTGTTATTGCAGTAGTAGTCGTCGTAGCGGCAGTAGTAGTAGTAGTAGCAGTAGTAGCAGTAGTGGTAGTGGTAGCAGTAGTCTAACACTAGTAGCTATAGTAGTAGTAGTAGTAGTAGTAGTAGTAGTAGTAGTAGTAGTAGTAGTAGTAGTAGTAGGAGCAGCAGCAGCAGCAGTAGTAGTAGTAGTTGTTGTTAATAGTAGCAGTAGCAGTAGAGGAAGCAGTAGTCACCAGTTGCATGCACAAAGAAATGCCGTGTTTTGTTGTCTCCTTGGAGGCTGCGACCGCACCGCTCGGCTTCCCCGACCACCGGGCCTTGCGGCACGGCTTCCCCCCGGCCCGCCGCAGCTGCAGCGGCACCCGCCGCGAAGCCCGCGGCGAAACCGCCGAATCCTGGCGACGCGTGCAGAGAAAAAGAACCTAAACACACACACTCGGCCCCCCCCGCCGCACTGCTCCAAAACTTGTCCCACGTCTCCACTCCCGCGCCAAGATTCCGAAACGCCGCACTTTCTGCGGGCCCTCTAAAAATGATGCCTGTCCCCTGGAGAGCACACAAAGAAATCGCTCAGCCAATTTTGGAAGTGCTTGAGCACCTGTACGCTTGGCATCGAAAAACGTGGTGAAACCTTTCATGATGGCAATGCTTTGTACCTTACAGCCTGGCGACTGGTGAGGTGGAAAATAGGCAGTGCTACTGAATTCACATAATTTGACATGTCCTTGGATGGCATACCGTGTGCTTTGCAAGTCTGCCTCACACGGCTGTGGCGCGCTAAAGTGACCCAGGTTTAGATTCAACCTTGCAGCTGTTGAAAGTACGTTCTAACTGAGCAGCATGAAGGCTTGATATCAAATTCCTGGAGCACAAATTTTTGATTTGGGATTCTCAAGTATGACGACCAAGGGTCTTCCAGCATGGTGGAACGACGCAATCTGCAGCGCGGTCGGGATCAAGCTGCGCAATGCACTCCAATAGCTGGCGCATCCTCTTGCCTTGGCACAGTGGCTTCAGTCAAGCTGTCCATCAGTATTCATCAAACTCACCCCTCAAGCCGGACTCAAGCCCATCAAATCACTTTTATGCTGCTTCAATTTGCTTGCCACATGCTCTCGTTCAGCAACACTGCCAAAAGATGCTCCGACGTTTCTCCAATCTCCCTGCATCAAAAGGGCCTTTGGCCCGCAGAAGGAGAATTTCCTGCCAAACTTGGCGAGCCGATGCAAGCTCTCTGTCAAGTACTTATGTCTCACGTACCCTTTGAGAGCGTATCCTGGGCAACCCCATAAGCTCACTGTCACCCTGCCCCCTTTTGAAAAAAAAAAACCGTACCTAAAAGGGTAGCTCTTTGGTTTCGAGATGTTTGCAGCCTTGAAAGCTACGGCATGCTGCGGCTTGCGACCCCGTCGGGCCTGGTTGGGCTCCAGCTTCCACGCGCCCTGCGTCAGCACCCGCAAGTGGCAACATGTGCGCCGACCACGCCGAACGCGCCGACCACGCCGAACGCGCCGAACGTGCCGAACGCATGAAGTGTCAAAACAAGTTGGAGCCCTTGGAGATGGACGACTGCACAGTTGCACATAAACACAAACGAAAAAGTGAAAGGGACCGATGTTAAAGCGGTTTGATTGACAAGGTGTGCCCCGAGTTTGTCCTTCTCATTTTTGTTCACTTCCTGGAAGCGGGCCTTCTTAACCAACAGGATTGCACAGTCCTGTCACAGCTTGGCTGCAACATAATGATGTGGTCTCTGCTTGGTCCTCATGGCCAAACTGCACCGCCCAGCGTAGCGCACTCTCTGAACAAAGCTCCTGCCAAGGCGGCATGGGAACTCATCCCCCGCACTCAGACACACCGATTCCCAAGCCACCTGCCTGGTTTATCGGGCCACCAGCACTGATGAGTGCCTGGAGAATGCACACAGTGAAATATCAAGGAAGCAAAGAAACCCCTCGTGGCAGCAACAAGCCTCGCGTGGAAATTTGAAGCTTGCCGGTTGGAAATCTGTTCGCCTGTCTGCTACTTCCCACAAGATCCACAAGTGCTCAAGATAAACTGAGACAAGACTATGATAACTGCCCACACAATACAAGATCATGCTTCGATCCACAGGCAGTGCTGTTCATTCGTTGATATCCTAGTGAGTCTGGCCAAAAAGCATCTCTTCGGGCCCGGACTTCAGCCTCCAACATTTCAGGACTCCCCCAGGAAGCTGCGCCGACCACAGCCTGCGCGGCCAAAGGAAGAAGTCGATGCAAAAGAGTCAGGGGATGCGGCAGCGCATGTAGATTCCGCAGCCCAATTCTGAGCTCAGTCAGTCCAACACATTCCAATTTGTTCCATATGCCGCCTGGCTCTTCTGTTCGATGTAAACTCGAAATGCAAGATTGAAAGTTGAAGCTGCAAGCTGTATGATCGATTTGAAGGGCCGGTCATACGGCAAGTAGTCAAAGCTTTCAGACTCATCACCAGCTAAATCTATCGCATCCTGCCAGGGTGCGGCGAAAAGGAATGGCAATTTGGAGCAGGGCTGGCTTCGAAGGTGGTCAAGCATGCTAGCAAGGCATGGGGAGTTTGTACACTTGTCTCAGCATAAGGCCCGACATGTTTGCTGTCACATATTCTTGCGCAGCACTCCTTGGTCATGCCTGATGCACATGGCACGTGTCTAGAGCCAGCTGGATGCATGAAGCACATGTACAAGAGAAGATTAGATAGAGTAAGCCCAGACGCTACAAATCAGCAGCTGTCATTGCCAAGCACTTACCAAGCGGAGGAATCAAGGACAGCCTGCACTTGAGCATGCCCAGAACAGAAGCAGGTGGCCTGCAAAGTGATCGAGGCATCTGCTCCATGTCGAATCAGCATGTTTATGGAGTCAAAGTTGCCTGACCTGAGCTTGCCGCAACAGCACCTCATGCTCACGCTTCATCCAAGGCTGTCACCATGCGCACGCATCAAGTGCATAGTAGCCGTCCTTCCCAACACGCGGAATGCCAAGACAGGTTACAAAAATCATGCCAGCCTGCGGGCGGGGAGTGTTGAAGTCAACGCCCGCCTGATCAAAGCAATGGCAGCATGCTCCGTCAGCTGATGGCAGCCAACGAATGGAGCATAACAATCAACGGATCAGGATGATTGGGTTGCAAAAGAGAATCCGTGATGTTCAATACCAGATTTCAAAAAATCCGCCGACCCCTTGTCTGCAAGCGCGAGGCGCACGGGAAGGGTGGTGGTCATGATCTGGGGTCCTCATCATTATCATTGTCATCGGCATCATATCATCATCATTAGCCTAGTTTCTGCTGGGGTCCTCATCATCGTCGCTATTATCATCGGCATAAAATAGACTTCAATTTCCGCAAGAGTGTAAGAAATATATATCCGGCGCGGCTTGCAATGCGAGAAATGCTTTCACGGACCAAAAACATGTCTACATAGAGACGGATTTTCAGAAAGATCCTCATAATTGCCTCCAAATCGTAAGCCTGAAGAAAACAAACGCTGAATGGCAGCATTGTTTGAGCGCAAGCGTGCTGATACGAGATTGATGTGGCGGTTGCATGCATACAGAAACGTCAAAGCACACAGGATACAAATGCCACCAAACAAAGATGGCAAAGGCTAGACAGTCTCAAGCACCTTCCAAGTGTGCCCTTGTCTGAAACTCACCCATCGCCTCTGCAAGCTTCTCCAGCATCTTGATGTCATTGTTGCACGCTGCCGCATGCACCTCCCGATGGATAAAAGCACTCTTTGCAGAGGCCAACAAGGCATCCAGCCTTCAGGGCAGGCTCCAAATCAGCATAGGGGTCCTTGCCGTATCTGCTTTGAGATCAATACCCAAATTAGTGGCACAGTCGGGCAAATCAAGTCCTTGTCGGCAACTGTGTCCTCCCCCTGGCACAGCTTGATCGCAGAGCTTCCCCGGTGCCGACTTGCCAAGAGTATCCCAAGCGGAAAACAAATGCAGCAACTACGCCAGCAACATAAAAGTGCCAAAACTTGTTTTACTGCTGTTTGTTCGACATCGTTTACATTGTTGTTTCATATTGGGAGAGCAAACTCGAAAATCGCAGCTTTCCAGCACACGTGTAGCAACCGAAGTACACGTTCGCAGCCCCAGCACGAAATCGCTACTCTTCAGTACAAGTGTAGCACGCGAAGTACATTTCCACACGAAAGGAGGAACTATTGAGCGCAAGTGTAGCACGCAAGCGAGCTTCCGCAGCTGCAGCTCCAAATCGCAAGCCAGCTCGGAAATCGCAAATTCTCAATACAAGCGCAGCAAGGCAAAGTACACTTCTTAGTTATTATTTAGCTACCTATCACTATCATCTCAGAGCCGCCCGTAATGGCAAGCTCGTTATGATGTTCACCCACGTGAGTGGCGGCTGCGCCCGCTGGCTTCTCCGCACATACTAATTTCTCGATCTATTTGTTCTATCTATCTTTCTTTCTTTCTGAGCTATCTATCTATCTATCTATCTACCTACATATCCATCTTTTCCAGCTGTCTACCTATCTTTCTAGGTTTCTGTGCTACCTATCTGGCTATCTATCTTTTTGTCCTTCTAAGATGAAAAACGCAAAAAACCACGAGTTTTTGAAGTCGACCCAGCGAGTCTCCGCAGAGGGTTCACCATTTGATGCTTGTGCACGCCCAAAATCGTAAAAGAACCTCGAGCTTTTGTTTTTGCAGGTCGACCCCATGAAAGTCCGCAGAGGGTTCACCGTTTCAAGGCTGCGAAACAGCGCGCGCGTCCGTGCCAATGGGCCCCGCTCCGAGCCCGCTCCGAGACCGCTCCGAGCCCGCTCTGAGACCGCTCCGAGACCGTGGCCAGGCAGGCGTCGCGACCAAGGCAGCTTTCAGCCAGCCGCAGAAGCCAAAACCCGCAGAGGGTTGCTCTTTTTGCGATTTCTATTCCCCCGCCAGACGCCTGCGCATTGTTTCTCGCACGCATCTATTCTTTCTATATCTCATCTTTGCGCAAGATACTTTCAATTAGTACCCGTAACACGGAAGTTCCTTCTAAACTTCCTTTGATAAATACATCTGTCTGTCTATCCGTCTATCGATCCATGCATCTATGACTAACTTCAAAAAATCGCGGGTGGATCAGTAGAGCTTCGACCAGTAGGGTTGTCAATACCAAAAATGCAAAAAGCATGAAAGAAATGCAAACATATGAAAGTTTACATGACTTGCTCTGATTTTTCCGGAGGCCAAGAAAATGATTCTGCTTAGCTTAAATCAGGGTTTCACGGTTTCACCTGATTTGCGGGGAGGCCTTGATCATGGCATACTTGCATTTGCCTAAGTCATTTTCGGGGAGGCCTGGGCAATGACTTGGATTTTCTTCATCTTACGACATGTGTTGAGCAACCCAGGCTGAGCTCCAAGAACATTTGGGCAAACTTGGTGTCAAGAGCGCAAGATGACGTTCCGTGGGACGCTGTCCACCAAGCTTCCAGCTGAATGTTACTCAATCACGCGGTGAAGATATACGGCTAAACCGATACAGCCAAACCAGTGTAAAATGTGTAAGGATGTTCCTCGATAACCACACAAGTTCGAGATCTGCAGCGCGATCGCACCTGTTTCTTCTCACTCGGATCGAACACAGGTATATGCAAGTCCATGCAAGACCATAAGCCCTACTTGAGTCTTGAGCCAAATTGTGGCATCCATCGGAACATTTGAACCAAAGAGAACATGGACCTCAGAACGGCTTCCCAATTTAGGCACGGGGCCAGGAGGGTTTTAACATCCCCCATTTGGGTCGCACTGTTCATCATGCGGTCCAAACATCCCAATGGCCACGGCTCGGACTACGAAACTGTGTCGAAATACTCTTTCATGCTCAATTGTAACGCCATCTATTCTTTGTGAAACTCAGCCGGGTGCGATTAAATCCAAACTCGTGCATCCGCAGACCACAGTACACTCCTATACACAGAGGCATGAGGCATTATACCTCGTACCACAACGCAGTCGTTGAAGATCCCAGCTGCCGTATTTGCGCATCACGCAGCTGTCATCCACCGAAATGGGTTGGCCAAAGAACTTCACAATTGCGCATGGCCAAAAGCCATCTGCGTATCACCGGCAAAGGAATTGGCGAACAATATATGCAAAAGATAGCCATCCCGGACACCACGAATAATACAAGGAAATGAAAGCATCCATACGGTAATAGTTTCCATCCATGAATATCCGGGAAGCCATAGTCGTCGGAATATATATATATATATACATAGGCACGTTCCTTGGACAAACGAAGTTACTCCACATCGCAATTCATTCCATCGTAGTGAAATCAACATGTTGCTGGCAATGGATGGGGACTGGCCCGCACCATGCCGCAAAAGCAACGGTGATCCACCTCTGCATCACATGGGTCGGTCCACAATGGCCAGCCTAGTGATACGACGACGGAATTCTTCGTCCAAGTTGCGTTGGGCGTCCCGGGCTCGGACATACTTCTTGTCGCGCTCGTCCGCAAGCCAATGTCCTTTCCGGACGCACCAGTGAAGCAGCGGTCCGTCACACTTGCCCGGGTCCGTGGCTGCAATAATAGCGCTCACGTCAACCTCGTACCCATGTTTACCAAGGTTCAGCCCGGTCCTCGCGAAGGATATGTACTTGCAGTTGAATGCCAGAGAGAAGCATCTGTTTAACGATGTCCCCCACTGGATGCTTGCGTTCGCTGACCAATAGCTTCATTTCTTCCTTGGTGACGTCGAGGATCTTTGCCGCACTCCACAATTTGTAGAAGATGTACAGCCCGTTGCACTTGATCGCCGAAAAGCGAATGTATTGGTTGCGTTCCTCGAAAGTCCTTGATCGAACACTCTGAGAATGAGAAATTTCTTCCTCAGAAGATGGCAAGACAACACCAGCACGATCAAGCGCGGCGTCAATCGTTCGCTTGTCGCCAGCCTCAAACATCCCCCACATCCTTGACATCTGCAGCGCAATGAACCCCGCCATATATTGAGCCTCCCGTGGCTCATCCAAGCAGATTGCTATCTGTTGGGAGTTGATGATGTCGCGCGCAGTCATGTCATTGTCGCGGTAGTCCTCTTCGTTCTCTTCCTCCTCGGACAAGTTGCCGGACGTGTCCCCCTGCGTGCCTATTTCATCATCATCGGGATCATCAACCATTCCATCATCCCTCCCTTGTGCTGCCGTATTACCATTCGCTTCCTCCTGTGCTCGCATGGTGTCAAGAGACGGCAAGGTGACGTCCCGTGGGACGCTATGCACCGAACCCTCAAGCTGTAATACCAACCACGTAGAAAGGTGTATACGGACGATGCCGTTATAGCCGAACCCGTGTAAACGTTGTAAGGGAGAAGGAATGATAGTTACAACAGTAGTCCTGACAAATGCAGCGCAAGCGAAGTGTTTTCGCTCTCAATGCCGATCACGTATGTATGCAGTCACACATCAGATCTTGAACCTCAATTGTGTCTTGAGCCAAATGGCGATCAATGGAACTTGGGAAGCAACACCAACAAGGACCTCAGAACAGCTACCCAATTTCGGCACGGGGCCTAGAGGGTTTTAACATCCCCCATTTGGGTCGCATTGTTCATCATGCGGTCCAAACACCACAAAACGTTCCACTGGCCACGGCTTCAACTACGAAATCGTGTCGTGCATTCTTTTACTTGCTATCACTACACCGTTCATTCGCTGTGAAACATGCCGGGTTCGATTGTACGAAAAGTGAAACATTCATCCTCCAATCGAAGCACACATCCATATGCAGGTGTATATAATACACTATTGTCACGTCACTTGACCGCCAGTGAACATTCCAGCTGCCGCATTTGCGCATCGCGCAGCTGTCATCCATAAATGGGTTGGCCGCAAAAGTCTACCAGAGGCGCCCGCTTGTAACCGGTCTGCATATTTCCGGCAAAGAAACATCGGTGAGTAATCAATGCAAATCATAGCCATTCCAGATACCATGGACAATGCATAAATAATGAAAAGATATCATCTATAAGGTAATAGTTCCATCCATGAATATCCAGAGCGTCATAGTCTCGGAATATGTAACCATGTACACATCCATTCAACTTGGATATATGAAATCATATCATAATGTAGAGTCGTTCCGTCGCAATGGTGTTGATGAGACGCAAGCAACAGATGGGGACTAACCCACATCGTGCCGCAATCAGCATCTTCACTACGCATACCGGTCCCCAATGGACAGTCTGTGAGTGCGTCGACGGAACTCCTCGTCCAAGTTCTTCTGGGCTTCTCGTGCCCGGACACACTTCTTGTTGTAGTCCTCTGGCAACCAGTGCCCTTTCCGAAGGCACCAATCCAGCAGGGGTGTGTCGCATTTGTTCGGGTCGACGGCCGAGATGATGGCGCTCACGTTGACCGTGTAACCATGTTTGCCAAGGTTCAGGCCATCCCTCACGAATGATATATACTTACAATTGAAAGCTAGTGCAAAGCATCTGAAAATAATATCACCCACCGGGTGCACTCGGTCCTTGACCAGGAGCTTCATTTCTTCCTTGGTGACATCGAGGATTCTCGCTGCAATCCACAGCTTGTAGAATGTGTAAAGTCCCTCGCATTTGCACACCATCATACGAATATATTCGTCACGCTCCTCAACCGATCGGAAGGCTCTTGTCCGAACATTCTCCGACTGAGAAATCTTCGTTATTGTTGATGGCAATAGTATACCTTCCTGATCGTGCTCAGTGATGTTGGGGTACCTCTTGAAATCATTGTGGTAAGGGCAGCCCTCTCTCCCCTCGAGCTTGGCATTCATCGTTCTCT